GCCCACGCTGAGTTCATTTAATACATTTGACTCTCTCTCTTACTTGTTTGCTCTGACTTCTCTCTAGTTATTCTCCGCAATAACCCTCGGGTAAGCAACCCCCAGGTACACTATCCATCACAAATCAAATCTTTTTCCATGTTCTTGTGTTCTTCTGCACGTTCGTTTGCCCGAAATCCCTTCATACCCGAGCCGGTATAGGGAATACCCGACCGGGTATTTGCTAGTTTCGCAGCAATTTCCTATTTCACTTCATACCCGACCGGGTAAAGGCCATACATGACCGGGTTTTGCATAAAACTCAGGTTTCTTCATCCTTTTTGCTTCCAAACCTACCCTAAACTTATAACCCAAATAACTACAACTTACAACAAACAATAAAATGCTAGTAATACGATTACAATCAAATGCAAACTAACAACTACAAATTTGCACAATACTAGTAAATAAATATTACAAAACATAATAAAAATGTATACTTAGGCACTAACAAATAGTGCCTATCAGTCTCCTCTGCACAAATCTCAATCTCTCAATTACACTTTTTCTATTTCTCACCTAATTTGAACTTGACAAAGTCCATTGGGATGAAGGTAATATAAAAAAATAACTACAATGGTCATCTACAAGTCAATGCACCCAGAAAAGTTAATTCAACCTTACTTAGGTAGTGTTTACGATTGCTTCTACTTCAAAAAAGTATTTTTTTAAAAGTGATATTGAAGAAAGTGCTTATTGGGTTAATAGACCTGATAGCAGGTCGGTCCATTATTCTTCGAACATGAGGACCACCACAGGGCCCATTCGGAGAAGACGCTCGTCCCAAGACAAAGGCCTAGCTAACAGGAGCTAGGTGGTCTTGCGGAACCCTCGGCTGAAGTCTACCGGCCGCACGGATCCACGCCCTTGTACATCACATGACCCAAACCTGATTGATTGGAGGATGCTCGTCCTCTACCAGGGAGTAGGATCAGGAACATGTCCTTGGCCCATCGAGGACCTCGAGCCAAGCTCGTCAAGACGCTCGTCCCAGGTCATGGTAGGAAACCAAGATATTGGCGAGAGGCACATTTAATGCAGTAGATTTGGTGGTTGGAAACTTGCCGTCCACAACCTCCATGTTAGCAGCACTACCTACCCCTTGATAGTATAAATAATAGCATTTATTTCTTTGTAAGAGGATGACAACTTATTACTCTTAGCAAATAGTAATTGTCTCAGCTCTTAGTACAATGTTAGATGAACGGCTTCAAGGCAAGTAGTTGAAGTGTGTTGTATACGGACCCTTATTATCATTTAATAAGATACAACTCACTTACTACTTAGTATTTTGATTCATTTTGCTTGTTTACACTCTAATCCACCAAAATATCCACTCAAAACTCAAGGGAAACGTGTTGAGCCTTTGGGTTGAAGGAATAAACCTCAACGGTGCTTAACACTAAAAGTTGATAGTGTTTGAAATAATGAAAAACAGTTTAATTCTGATTTGTTTAATTGAGAATCGCTGAAATGGATTCATGTTTAAAAAAATGAAAAACATTTTAATAGAAAAAGTGAAAATCAGTTTAAAACACTTTTGGCCGCTTCTAACTTTTAGCTTTTAAGTGTTTAATTTAAGTAGAAGTTGACATTTGAAAACACCCATTTCAGCTTTTTTAAACCAAAAGCTGAAAAACACTTATTTTAATTTTTAGCGAACACTCCCTTATTTTGATTATTACACGATTTAGTGTAGGAAATTAATGGTTGAATATTTAGTGAAAATATATACGTAGTATACACAATCGTATATTAACACAAATTACGGTGGAGCTAATGCACGGTATTTAAAGGAAGCATGGTATTTCGAGCAAACGTCAAAAAGGTGTTCCGTAATTTCCAACACAAACATAGCCGTGACTTTTGTTTGTCTTTCTCATCCCAAAATATAGAGCAATTAACTGCGCTTTTTTCGTGTACAAAAGCATGTCCTTACCCCAATTAATTTCGTAGTCATTGTAGTCCCTAATGAAACAAAATGGAATTAAATGTTCATCTGCAAATAAATTTCAGTTTCGTATTAATTTCAAGCTAAATTCAAGTAGTTTCCGGTTTAAGAAAAAATAAGTTCATTAGTTATCTTTAATTTCAACACAAATTTTAATACAATAATTACACATATATATGACTAAAGTAAATGTTGTTTACCAAAATGTGATCTCATAGTATAGTGACCATACATAGTAGTAATTTAATCATAGTAATTTATGTTCTATTTTTGTACTTAAGTGACCTTGGAATTATACCACAGTAACAATTAACCTTTTTTTTAAATAAATTAATTTTTGTAATATTTTTGAAAAACCTCGAGGAGATAAAGTAATACTCTCTATCACACGGCATAGTTTTGTTTGAATTTTACAACTTTATTAACAATATTTTTATTACTATCTCTGTCCCACTATGTTTGGAACAAAAGGGTGTGACACAACTACTTTTAGGAAAAAGTGGAATTGTGTGATAGATATTGAATTGATAAAGTGTAAATAAAGTAAGAATGAATTGTAACCACCCAAATATTACCAAATAGCCTAAAGGGTCAAATAGGTACATGAACTAACTTAAAGTGTTCAATTAGCCCCTTATATAGGAGGTTCTCCTCGGCCGTCGCCAATTGGGGAGGTTCCCGGTGGAATATTTTGATGAAACTTTTTGAGCATCTTCTTCATTAAGTCTAGTTACCCATACCAAATTTCAGCTAAAAATTCAACCGGGAAGGCAGTCAAATGATTTTTTGAAGATAACTGCGCAGTTAAACAGCGGAGTACATTTCGGAAAATCATTTGACTGTCTTCCCGATTTAATTTTTAGCTGAAATTTGATATGGGTAACCTAGACTTAATGAAGAATATGCCCAAAAAATTTTATCAAAAAATTCTATCTGAAAGCGCCCCAATTAGCGACGACCGAACAGAACCTCCTAAATAAGGGGCTAATTGAACACTTTAAGTTAGTTCATGTACCTATTTGACCCTTTAGCTTACCAAATATGATGTGAAACAAACTTAATGAGACAGACGAAAAGGTAAAACGATATAAAGTTAGGGACAGACGAAGTATAAAACTAAACAATTATAATACAAAAATCGGAAGGAAAAACATAAAATTTTTCCTTATTTCGTGAAAGAGTAAATGAAAAAATAATAAAATATTTCCAAAATAAGAATAACGATAATGTAAAATTCGAGTAAAATATTTATTTTCCTTAACAGAAATGCATTATTGTAATTCTGAAATAATACTATTATTATACTCCGTACTTAGATAGTACTAGTAGTCATTGATAGATATTGTCGTATTAATACGAGAAAACTATCAGATAGGCTCTTGTACTATAGCGAAAACATCAATTAAGCCCTCACACTTAAAAAAGACTCAATTGAACCCTCGAACTTTTAAAAAGCACTAAATTGGGCGTTTTATCAGGTAAAGGTCCGGTTTCCCGGTTAACAATCCCGCATGGCGCCAGCGTGACATTTTTTTCTTTCCCTTTTTCTTTTATCCTTTCTTTTTCTATTTCTCTTTTCTTTTTTTCTAGTTCTTTACCTATTTCTTTCTTCTCCTCTAAGCTCATACACATGGATATTGTTCAAGCCGTGCACTCTCCCTCCGACGGCCACTCCAGCTTCAAGCGACGAAGACCACTCCACATGCTCTGAGCGACGAAGATCACGCCGTACTTCCAGTGGGTCTTCCATGGTGATCTTATTAGACCCACTTCACATGCTCAAAAACTGGACCAAATCCTCTTCCCCCAACCTTGGAAGTTTGGAACGACCTCACCTCCAACCTCCATGGCACCACCTGTAAATGGCCGGATCTATAGGCCCCATCTTTTTTTACCTCTCCAATAGCACCAATCTCTATGCCTTGGGCCTCTCCTCCAATCCCCTCGCCGGTCCCATCTCGTCGGATGTGGGTTTCGCCTGGAATTCCTCCCCAGTGGTATGAACGGGATCTGTGAGGCCGACAGAGGGTGTACGGACGTGAACGTCTGGAACAGTATCCATGTGTATATCATGAAGCTTGGTGCCCGGCGGCACAGGTGTGGTGGGTCATGGATGGCGGGTTGTCAGTGATGAAGGTCAACGGCGTGGGTGACTCCAGGTGAGCGTAGAGGAGAAGAAAGAAAGAGGAAAAGAAAAGAGAAAAAGAAAGGGGAAAAGAAAAAAAATAAAAGAAAAATGTCACGCGGGCGCCATGCGGGCACCACACAAGTGCCACACTGGCTGGTAACCGGAAACCGGACTTCAACAGGGGTAAAATGCTCAATTGAGTGTTTTTTAAAAGTTCGGATGTTCACTTGAGTCTTTTTAAGTACGAGGACTTAGTTGATGTTTTCGCTATAGTACATGGGTTTATTTGATAGTTTTCTCTATTAATATTATACGGAGTAATTAGCACTATTTTCAAACATAACAAGAGAGAACTATCAAATAAGCCCTCGAACTTTCATAAAAAGTGTAAATAAACCCTTTTATAGGAGGTTCTGTCCGACCGTCGCCATTTGGGACGGTTTCCGGTGGAATTTTTTGATGAATTTTTTTGAGCGTCTTCTTCACTGAGTCGAGTTTACTCATACCAAATTTAAGCTAAAAACTAAATTTTTAAGGCAATCAAATGAATTTTTGAATACAACTTCGCAGTTAGACAGCGCAATATATTTTCGAAAATCATTTGACTGTCTTCTCGATTGAATTTTTATCTGAAGTTTGGTATGTGTAAACTAGACTTAATGAAGAAGATGTTCAAAAAATTTCATCAAATAATTCCATCGGAAACCGCTCCAAATGACGACGACCGGACATAGTCTCCTATAAAAGGACTTATTTGCACTTTTTATGAAAGTTCGATGACTTATTTGATACAAGTATATAATAATTATACTAGTTGAAAAAATGTCCGTTGGTTGTGTTTTCTTTTAAGGTTTTTGGTCTATTTGTGAAGTACTGAAGTCACTTTCGTCTTTTGCATTTAGTCTGCGAGGCGTGGAAGAAAAATAGAATCAAGATCCTTCCTCTCCTTTTCCTTCCCCACTCTTTTGTTTTTGTTCATCTTCTGTATCTGAATCCCTCCTTTTCAATTCTTGCCTTAATGAAGCCATTACTTTCCTATTTTTCTTTAATGGCTGAGCTAGCTTCAACTCTCAAGCTCTGAGGCTGTTTGCGTCTACTGTGTGTGGATTGGGGGAAAAAGAAGAAGAAGAAGCAGAGCAGATGGGATTGATCCCAGGGACCAGGCCGCCATTGCACAAGCCTGGAAAGGGCGTATCTTCAAGATGGGTCTTCTTGCTTTGCATTGCAAGCTTTTGCTTCGGTGTTCTTATAGTCAACAGGTTGTTTCAGCTACTATTTTCATCCTTCAGTTTCTTAATCTTGTCTGTAATCTTCTGCACTATAAAGTTCAGTAGATGGCAAGCCGCAAATTTGTAGTGGCAGATTTGATTATTGCAAGTTATAAGTTGTTGGCTTGTTGCATATGTCATCTTGTTTTGGGGTAAGGTTAAAAGTCTAAGATTAGGGATTCAGAACGGTGCATTTAGTCATATACTGCAATTTCTTGCACAGATTTAGGGATTCAAAGCTTCACTTTTTATGTGAGAACTAAAAAGTCAAGCAGTTCAAATTAACATTGATCCTTCATCCTTTAGATTGTACATACTAAGTTACCTCCCAACCGAGTGTAACATATATAAGGTTGGACTTCCTTCCTAGAGAGTCAATGTAATAAGTGGTATTTTATATTTAACAGATGTAGGATAAACTCTTTAACAATATGTGAATATTTGTCTGGCATAATACCTAAAGTGGAAAAGTTGAATCAGATTTTTATTTTCAGGTGATTATATTAAACAGTTTGCTGAATGTACTATCAGGTTGTGGTCAGTAGCCATCACAACGGTAGAGGGGGGGGGTTCTCCAGAACAGCTAAAGTCAGGAGGTTCTCACCCTGTTGCTAAGTGCCAACATAATAAGGCAAGTCTGGCTGATGAATATTGTTCTGAGTCTGTTAGGGCCTATTTGGATGGAGGGTTTTGGAAGGGGAGGTTTGAGAGATCTTTGTCTGTACAGGGTATGCCCCTTGCAATTAGGTTTTTAGGAGGATGCGATGTGCACTGACCTTACCACTACCATAGCAGACTAGCAGTACAGACTAAGCATGCCAAGCCTTTTTCTCTCCAAAACCTTTCACCCAAACAGACATTTAAGCTTCACCGTTTTTTACTTTTTATGGCATTCATACTAATTGCAGGAATCTTTTTGTTTTCTTTCAGGAAAGAGATATACTAACCCGGGTTTCTCAAACTCACAATGTGATAATGTAATTTTTTATCCCTTTCTTCTAAGTTAATCATAAGATTCTTTACATCTGCTCCATTTAACACTCCATTAACTGGTAAAACTTTTCAGGGAGTTGGATAAAACAATATCAACTCTGGAAATGCAGCTTGCTTCAGCCAGAGCTGCTAAAGAACACAAGGGGGGAAAAGATGACTTTGTTGAAGGAAAACTAGGGAGTGAACCTTTGACTGATCGTCCAAAACATTTTTTTGTCATGGGAATCATGACAGGTTTCAGCAGCAGAAAGCGGAGAGATTCAGTTAGAGAAACTTGGATGCCTGGAGGTAAAGGTTTCTATATAGATTTCTGAGTTAATACCCAGTTTAGTATCTCAACTATAGGCTACAACTTAATATTTAAAACTTTTTATGGACTCAATATGGTCCTTGACTAATGGCTATGATATTTGGACCCGATTTAGTCCTCATTCATATGTGGTTTTAAATAAGAAGTGTGATTTTTTCTGTTCTCAAGATTTAGACCCAGTTTCATCATCTTGGCCATCAAGGATTTAATTTCGATCCAATAGTTCTCAGTGAACGAAAATACCCTTCTTAATAATACCAGAATATGCATGAGGCCTTTACTGAGTCTAAATTGCACAGTTGAGAACCTAATTGAGCCCAATAGAAAATTGGGATCAAATTCAGTAATGGTGTATAGTTGAGGAACCAGAATGGTTATTAACTCTATTTTTTTTACCATGCATATTTGGTTTTTCAATATATTTTATCTGTATCAGGGGAAAATCTGATGAAGTTGGAAAAAGAAAAAGGTATTATAATACGTTTTGTGATAGGCCACAGGTAAGTTCTGTTATGGAAAAAATCTAACAATATTACAAGGAAATGTTTGTTGCAATTAATGAAATCCTGATCTCCTCTTCCCACTGTATAGTGCTGCTCGAGATGGAGTCTTGGATCGTGCCATTGATGCTGAAGAGGCACAACATAAAGATTTCTTAAGACTGGTATTAACTTTTTTCTTTTCACATAACATAAAGTCATGACCTTTTGTTATTCTTTTACCTTCTGTTTACTGTCTTCTCAATTCAAGTAATACTAGGAAAGTAGAAGCCTTATATTGACCAACTTTAGCGGTGATTTACTCATTTACTGATTTAAGATGATTACAAACCCGTGTCTAGTATATGGTTTCATCTTTGAATGAAACCCATACATATGGTTATAATTGTTAAATCCATTTCCTACAGCTTTAATATTTTTACCCCATTCTTCTATTCACTGTCCACTTTCTTTGTTATCTTTTTACAGTGTTTGCTAAAGTTGACACTAAGGGGTCATCCTGCATGTCTACTTAAATTTTTGACCGTTAAAGAAACTCTTAGTTTAGTAATACCATTAACAAACCTATAGAGAGGAGTGTAAGAATGAAGACATTTATACTTGTGGGTTCTGTCTAAAGTTAAAATTAAAGAAATACAGAAAATAAGTTTGTGAACATAAGGGACACTGAGAATAAAACAGTAAAGGGGTTTGACCATTAGGTGCAGATAACAATTGGTGTTTTCCAAATACCTCTGATTGTTGTGATGAAATAAACTGTGCTTAAACCTGACATGTTTTATTATGGGACTATATGCAGAATCATGTAGAGGGATATCATGAATTACCCACAAAAACACAAATATACTTTTCAACTGTTTCTGCACAATGGGATGCTGACTTCTATATCAAAGTTGATGATGATGTGCATGTCAATCTTGGTGAGGATTCAGTCTTGTTCTGACACAAATTATCAATTTATAGTATTTTTTTGTTATGATTTGGAGTTCTATTCTAAAATTCAACCTGAGTTGGAGGAATAGCTCAAAACCTTATATGGTGGTTTGTATCTTTATAATTGGTCAGCATGAGGTGTTTTAACTTTTAACCATTTTGAGATAGCAATTATCATTCTATAGATGCTGACTCAATTAAATATCCTCTAAACAGGTATAGTGGGGTCAATATTAGCTCGCCATCGTTCTAAACCCCGTATTTATGTTGGTTGCATGAAGTCTGGACCCGTTCTTGCACAAAAGTAAGTATGCTGGATGATGGTGTATGATAAACGGCCTAGTAGTGTGTAAATTTTACTTAATGTATATGTGATATGCAGAGGTGTTAAGTATCATGAACCGGAATACTGGAAATTTGGTGAGGAGGGTAACAAGTACTTTAGGCATGCAACTGGACAAATATATGCTATCTCCAAGGATTTGGCTACTTATATATCTATTAACAGGTTCAAGTTTTTTTCTTCAAATTATTGGAGTTTATATGGACTGTTGTATAGTACAGTGTCAGAGAAACATCTGATTCAACTTATAACAATTTGCTTAGGAACATACTTCATCGATTTGCAAACGAAGATGTTTCTCTAGGGTCTTGGTTTATTGGCCTCGATGTAGAGTATATAGATGACCGGAGCCTATGCTGTGGGACACCCCCTGGTAAGGCCTGCCTATCGATATTTTAAGTTTGGCGAATGGCATCAAATTCTATGTTGCACTTCGGTCTGCACTGCATTGCAGACCTGAGAGTTTGGTTAGTGTTTTCAAAGGTCATTTTGCTACAAGTAAAATAAATTAAACTTAAACATCTGCAAATTTGTGTAATGATTATTCTTTCACAACCACAATGGTGCTTTTATCTTGTCATATAACAGAATGATTATCTTTTTCTTTTCAAAAAGTGCACAACCCCAACAGATTAAAAAAATATCATTTGCAATCACTTGTGTCTTTGCTTTGGATTCAAGATTGCGAGTGGAAGTCACAGGCAGGGAACCTTTGTGGGGCATCATTTGATTGGAGCTGTAGCGGAGTGTGTAAATCAGTAGAAAGAATGGAAGAGGTACACCAGAGATGCGGTGAGGGTGATGTAGCAATCTGGCATACCAGCTTTTGATACCCTCAATATCTTTTATTATTATTATTCATTCTTTAGATGATCTTTGTGATTTTTCTTCTTCTTGCCCCTCGGGAGGTGTATCACGATAGTCAAATGTATATGCATATTTGCGGCAATCCGAAACCGGGTAGTTCATTTCTGTGCCAATTTTTGCTCATCAAAGATTGCTACTTACCTGTTGGACAAACAAACCTGCAAAAGAGATATATTAGTTTGTAATACAAATCCCTGATGTTTTTTAAATCATTTACTCCTTTTTGTGTCGTTAATCGTTATATGGCGACTATCATGGTGGACTATTAGTGACTATCCGTGGATGTTAATAGAACATTATATTAAGGACTTGTGTCTAATTCCTTTAATTACTTATAAGTATAAATATGATCCTAGGGCTACAGGTAGGGATGGACTAAACCGGCCCGGCCCGGCCTGTTACTGTTTGGGCCGGGATCGGTTGGCTGGTTCCGGGCTTTTAGCCCGTTTGGGCGGGCCGGGTGGGCCGGGCTCGGGCTCAACTTTTGGTGAACCGGCCCAGGCGGTTCGGGCCGGGCCCGGTTCAATTTTTCTTTTCAATTTTTTTTCTTTTCTAGGTTAGGGCTTGGTGTTTGGGGGGGGGGGGGGGGTTGGGGGGTTGGGGGATGGAGGTGAAGGGGGGGGGGGGGGGGGTCGGGTGTTAATTAGAAACCCAAAAAAAAAATTGAACTTGACCCGGGCCCGGACCCGGTATCAACCCGGGCTGGTTCCGGGCCCAACATTTTGCAAAAAAGCTCGCCCGGGCCTGGCTCGGAACCGGAACCGGACCGGCCCGGGTCCAACCCTAGCTACAGGTAAGCCACTATTCATTATTCAATATGGTATCAGCAGCCTAGGTATCTCCATCCTAATACCTCGTACAATGTCAGCCGCACTCCCAACTTCTGGAACGGCGCCCACTTTGGCGCAGCCGTCTGCTACGCAACTGCCGTCCTCAACGGTGCTGCAGTCTACAAACTCAACACAGGCGCCCAGATCAAACTCAACCATGGAAAGCCACTATTCATTATTCAATAGATGTATTTCAAGCAATGCTAAAGACGATTTAATCATGACTTATGGTGCAAATAACTTGTCTTTAACTCTTGTGAATGGACGAGTTCGAAATTTATTTTAATCATGATCTGTTTACGTAGTTTATTCGTACTTTGCGTGGTTCTTGCTCATGTAATAACCTTCAATAATAGGAAAAACTTGTTTGTGCATGTTTTGTGTACACATTTTTATACGCCCTTTATTTTACTTTTGTATATGGGCAATTCATTTAAGAAGTGTAGAAAATTGAAAGTTGCCTGTGTACATAGACAAATGTGTGAAATGTGTGCAAAAATATGTACACTAGAATAGAGAGGAGAGAACAAATGTTTTGAATATATTTCTGCATATGAAACTAGTTTACAAGGCTGTTATTTATACACATCATAATCATGTATATAAGGTAAATAATAATACTATATTAAATGACAAAGATATGTAACGACTAAATACAATATTATGTTTTAAATGCAAATCATTTCTTTCCTTCAATATGCCCCCGCAAGCCAGGTATTCTGTCACCGCCAAGAATCCTGAGCTTGTCTCTAAGAAAGATGAAGCTTTACCGAGGAAGCGGTTTGGTGAGGGCATCAACTATCTGATCAGAGGATGAGATATGATGAACTTGAAGAAGTCCACGTTGAACCCGCTGCCGAACAAAATGAAAGTCAATGGCTACATGTTTCATGCGAGAGTGGAAGACAGGATTGGCTGAAGATGTAGTAGCACATTTGTTATCACAAAGGAGGAGTGGAGGAGAGAGGAGCGGGTGTTGTAACTCACGCAAAAGAGATTCAATCCAAATAATTTCAGAGGCAGCGGTGGAAAGAGCCCGGTATTCAGCTTCCGTGGAAGACTTAGCAATAGTGCGCTGCTTAACTGATTTCCAAGATATAAAAGACTCCCCGAGAAAAATGGCATATGCGCTGGTAGAGGAACGATCATCAGGATTCCCTGCCCATTCAGCATCAGCAAAGGCACAGAGAGAAGGGGATGTGCTTCGACAAAGGTGGAGGCCATGAGAGGTGGTACCCTGCAGATAGCGCAAAAGACGTTTGAGAAGCTAGCAGTGATTAATCGTAGGTTTATGCATGAATTGAGCGAGCTTGTTAATAGCAAAGGCAACGTCTGGACGGGTAAGATTCAAATATCGAAGTGACCAAAGGAGCCGGAACTGTCAAACAGCGTTAATGAGGCAGAGGGAGCTAACGGTGTAGCCACAGGATTAGCCTCATCCATTTTTAATATTTTTAATAAGTTCATAACGTATTTATGTTGATCAAGAAAGAGTCCGCCCTGTGTAGGAGTAACCTGCATGCCCAAAAAATAGTGTAAGGCTCCAAAATCCTTGATAGAGAACCGGTGGGCCAAAGAGTCAATAGTCTGACGTATCAAGTGAGGTGTAGAGCCAGTAACAATAATGTCATCCACATAAACCAATACATAGATGTAAGATGGATGGGAGGAAAAAATGAACAGATTGGCATCGACAACAGATTGATAAAACCTAAGTGAGAGAAGGAAGCCACTAAGAGATTGATACCACATACGAGGTGCCTGTTTAAGGCCCATAAATAGATTTCCGAAGACGACAAACAAACCCAGAACCATCATTAAAGTCAGGAGGTTGTTTCATGTAAACTTCCTCCTGAAGTGTCCCATGTAGGAATGCGTTATTGACATCTAACTGATGTACCAGCCAACCATGAGAAAGAGCAATTGTCACGCCCCGGACTTACCCGGACACATCAACAACCCGCCGTACAGTATGAATAGTCAACCGCAGTCCAACTCATCCATACTATACAATGCGTCTTGAATACCATTCACACATAGTACATCCATAAACAAACATAATGTAAAAACATTCATTAAAGCAGCGGAAACATTAATAGAAGTGTTCAAGCCACGCTCGGCAAATTAGGCATACAAGCCCCCAAATAATTGTTCAAAATAATATCTATGAGCATTTATATAGTTGTTTTAAAACAGAACGGAAGAAGCACGAACCACGTCTTCTTTCATTGATCTTCCTGAAGCAACAGACGATGGTAGCAACCTTCAAGTTCTACTTGAAACTGTGAGGTGGCCTCCCCCATGATTCCGTGAAGGGGAGGTCAGTACTTTGAAGCATTTGAAAAGTACAATGACAACTACATTGAATATAATCAAATTTTCAATTTCTAAGACCCTTAAATAGAGTGACATCATAATATATATGATAATTCATATTTGCCCCTTATTATCTTTATAATAAGTTAATTTATTAATTTGTCAGCACGCGGCCCCCTTTATATATCCCATTTCATTCATCGTTCACACGACACAACCCGTAGGTCTTATTGTTTCTATGTGACTTGCTACCGCTGTCCGAGGCCTCGTAAGGTCATCGGTTCGGATTCCAACATCCCGCCCCTGGACTCATACCCATCATCCCATGGGAAGGTAAGGCCCTTCAGGGTCCTATCTTATGTGTTACCGCTGTCGGAGCCTAGTTAGGTCTCCGGTTCGGATTCCACCCTAACCCGTGATCACATCGGAAGTCCATGCTATCCAACCCCACTCTTTAGAGTCGAGAAGGGCCATGGTCCTTACTTATTACCATAATTCAACCGGCTATCCTCAAGGACTACCGAACACACCTGTAGGCCAATCCTATATCTAGAATCAATTTATTATTCACTTTATCTTGGGTATCCTTTAAGGTCTACCCCTAGTATAACTTAAAGTTCATACATTCCTACCTTAAAGCATCTCTTAAGACTACTTAAGGCATAAAATTTCACAATCCAACCTTAGAATCAATTCTAGCAACATTTTACTTTAATGCCCGACTAGTATATTAATACTATTCGGATTAATTCCAACAAACAAAGTTCTCCATTCATAGTCATATAGATAATTCCAAACCAATTTTCCATTGAAAATATCATCTATATCAATATACAAAATATCACTTTTAATCACGCATATATTCTTATATGAAGTAAAAAGCATGTATCAACATAAGTTTCATAGTTAATTCCATTATCAAGTCAACATACTCATGACACATGATCATACACAATTTACTCTTAAATTTGTATATCATGCTCCTTTTCCTTATAGACAATAGTCTTCTCATTTTTAGGCATTATTAATCATTAATAATCCATCAAAAACACATTTAATTACCTTAGGTAATCTCATTAAATTAACTCACTAATTATAAGCAATATAGTCAACCATCCTCACCTCGAATGAGCTTTAAGATCGAAGTCCTACCCTTCTCGGTTGAACTCCGGCGAAACTCCGGTGAACTCCGGAGATACTCCGGTGATACTCCGGCGATAGTTAGGAACACCTTACTCAAGCTCCTAACAAGGTTTTATCACCGCAAAACCCAAATCAACACAAATAACCTCTGAAAGGTTATTTTCCGGTGAACCGGTCATTTGGCTTCTAAGTCCGTTCTTGGACTTAGAACTACCTTCCAATCCCTTGTTCTACACTTCTAAAAATTTAGAACAATCATAGGGGTCCTCCATATGATATATAAGTCATATGATAAATAAAAAGTAAAGGAAAAGTCACTATAAGGTCATTACCTTAATCCTTCACACTTTTCCCTAACTTTTTCCTTGGACGGTTTGAATTATATTTTATTTTATCGGGCCAAATAAAATATATCACACGTTCCTAATCATTATAGGCCTTTAGAAAAGATGTACGTTCCACAAATTTAATTTAGAAATCTCTGAAATTCATTTCGGGCTATTATCCGACTGATACCGGTAATTGGGCCTCGTGTGACCAACGGGTCAAC